GTTCATTCTTAGTTAATGTTAACTAATGTAGTTACAGTAACTAATGAACCTTATTGTAAAGTGTTACCATTATTTTTAATTGTAAAAATGCAGAAAGTTTTCATTTAGAGTTGAGGTGTTGGATGTAGATGTAACTAGCTGTCAGTGTCCTGTTAGTTGAGATATTAGGAGGTTCATTCTTCATTCGTTCGTTCACACGTCCCGTTTCCTTGGATAAAATCGCAATTTTCTCACGATTTACATATGGTTGGAAACATTAAGGATGTTGTAAGTAATCAACTAAACAAAATATATAATATATATAATATATAACAGCAAAAATCCTGCATACCTTTAAGGATAACAAATGTAATAATTTGACAAGGAAAGTAAAAAAAACAACTTTTGTGCTCATATTTTAATTTCAAATAGTCCGGAGATTAATTATTCCTCTCTTGGTGGTTCCTCATTGAAAGCAGTGATTAGCTGTGTTAGATTGCTAGACTGACGCTAGGATTAGCATGCATCTATCTCTGCTGATCACTGTGATCAGTCTACTCACACACACTCACACTCTCTCTCAAGGGCTCGCTGAAACTGTAGAATAGCGTAGTGACCTCGTTTTACAATTGTGATTGGCTAGTAGTGACGTCAGACGTTGCATAAGACCCTGTAGTGTGACCAGGTTGCTCGCGTTCGAAGCTGGAGAGAGTCGAGCATCCGGAGACAAGCCAGCAAGTGTTGTGACTGATTTACATACGGGTCGGAAATAGTGTGTGTGTGTATGTGGAATTGTGTTTGTGTTCATTTGATAAGTGTGCATCTATGGTGACATCAGTCACTTTGTTACATCTGTATAGGACTTGTGTTGGTCAGTGGCATTCCTGTGGGGATTTTAAGTTAATTGGTGTTTAATGTAGACATATTTGAGTTGTACAGTAATATTTTTGTAATATTATATAACATAATATACTGTATTAAAATAATATGTTAATATATATTAGGTCTGTGCAAAGATTAATTGCGATTAATCGTATCCAAAATAAAAGTTTGTGTTTACATACTATATTTGTCTGTGCTGTGTATAATCACTTTGCATATATAAATACACACACGCATGCAAATATTTAAGAAAAAGTGTTATTTATATATAAAATATTTATATATAATATAGATAATGTATTTAAATATATACAATATTGACGTGCAAATAATTCTTAAATACATATGCATATGTATTTATATACACGGCACACACACATATATTATGTAAACACAAACTTTTATTTTGGATGCGATTAATCGCAATTAATCTTTGCACAGCCCTAATATATATGATAATACATGTATTAACTAGTATAATATTTTATTTGTTATTTATTTAATATTATTCATTTATTTTATTTTGATAGAAATAAATCTGTTTTACTTAAGATATGTAATTATTGTATTTTTTTTCTCCACATTTTCAGTCCACTGTATTTGAATTAGGGTTTTTATTGTTAACTAAAGCTAAAACCATAAAAAAAAATTCCATTACATGAAATGAAATAAACATTAACCGTATATTAGAACCATGAACTCAAAATAAGCATTTCTTATTTTTTTATGGAATATTGCATTTATTATAAATGATTTATCCGTGCACATCATTATTTTTTTATTCATGTGCCTCGTAATCTTTACTCAAAAGAACTTCTCCTCCCTCTTGCAGTGACATCTTGTCAGGGATGGGTGAAGGGATGAGGCGAGGACTCAAGAATGCAGATATGGGCTTTTTATTAATCAAAAAAAAATAAAACAAATCAAACAAAAACTACCGCGTGGGGGAAAGCATGACTGGCTGGACTAGGCAGGACAAGGCAGGAAACATAAGGGGGCAGGTAAACATGATACGCACATACGACATCCATCCGGCCCGCGACCGCAAACACAGGGAGAATAAAAAGGGAGAGCAAACGAAGCAGGGAACGAGAGAGGACAAGTAGGACAGATGAACCTATAATCAGGTAACAGCAAGGACGGGGTTAAAGGAGTAGTTCACTTTAAAAAAAAAACTTTTGCTGATAATTTACTCACCCCCATGTCATCCGAGATGTCCATGTCTTTCTTTCTTCAGTCGAAAAGAAATTAAGGTTTTTGATGAAAACATTCCAGGATTTTTCTCCATATAATGGACTTCAATGGGAACCAAACGGTCCAAAAGACAACACTGCAAACTGTTCAAAGGGCTTTAAATGATTCCAGATGATGAATAAGGGTCTTATCAAGCGAAACGATCGCTCATTTAAAAAAAGTTTAAGTTTTATAAGCTCAAATGCTCGCCTTGATCTGTTCTGTGATGTGCGTTCGTGACAAATTCATCAAAATGAACAAATCTTTTTTCGTGTCATTTGGTTCATTCAATGAATGAAATGAACGAATTGACTCGGGAAAAGATTTGTTCATTTTGATGAATGGGTTCAAACAGGAGAGTCACGAACGTGCGTCACAGAACAGAGCAAGGCGAGCATTTGTGCTTATAAAACTTAAACTTTGTTTGGTTTTTTTAATGAGCGATCTTTTCGCTTTATAAGACACTGATTCGTCGTCTGGAATCGTTTAAAGCCCTTTGAACAGTTTGAAGTTTGCACTGGAACTGTCTTTTGGACCTTGAACCGTTTGGTTACCAATAAAGTGCATTATATGAAGAAAAAACCTGGACTGTTTTCATCAAAAACTTTAAAGGAGTAGTTCACTTTTTAAAAAAAAAAAACTTTTGCTGATAATTTACTCACCCCCATGTCATTCAAGATGTCCATGTCTTTCTTTCTTCAGTCGAAAAGAAATTAAGGTTTTTTGATGAAAACATTCCAGCATTTTTCTCCATATAATGGACTTCAGTGGGAACCAAACTGTTCAAGGTCCTAATGAGAGTTTCAGTGCAGCTTCAAATGACTTTAAACCACACCAGATGACGAATAAGGGTCTTATCAAGCGAAACAATCGGCCATTAAAAAAAAAGTTTAAGTTTTATAAGCACAAATGCTCGCCTTGCTCTGTTCTGTGATGCAGTTTTGTGACTCTCCTGTTCAAACTCGTTCATCAAAATGATCGAATCTTTTTTCGAGTCATGACTCGAAGAGTCCTTGATAAGACCCTTATTCATCGTCTGGAATCGTTTAAAGCCCTTTGAAGCTGCACTGAAACTCTCATTTGGACCTTGAACCGTTTGGTTCCCATTGAAGTCCATTATATGGAGAAAAATCCTTTTCATCAAAAACCTTAATTTCTTTTCGACTGAAGAAAGAAAGACGTGGACATCTTGGATGACATGGGGGTGAGTAAATTATCAGCAAAAGTTTTTTTCAAAAGTGAACTACTCCTTTAAGGAGAGCACATGGCACATAGAAACAAACATGAAAGCATGTGACCGAAGTAAAGCGCGTACACAGAACACGTGGGCCTGAGTGAACCTGAAAACACACACTCGCACACGAGAATGAGTGAATGCTCATTCCTTTAAACACACAGAGCATGAATGCATGAATCCCGACAGAACGGAAACCTAACTAGACCGAAGTGCCGGGATCTGAACACCATTCTCCACATACACACACAAAAACAGGAGAGCGCATGGCCCGGGTAATGACGAGACAGTCTGAGTTTCAGGACTCTGTCACCAAACCACAATAAACCACACCGAACCCTGACACATCTCTTCTCTGGCGGGACATCCTGTCAATCCACAACCATCCAATCAATTCCCCACAGAAATGTAGTCCCACGCTGCATTGTTTCTTGTTCAAGAAGCCATTTCACAATAGGGAAGAAAAGTCTATCACAACTTCCATTTCATGCCGACTTGAAGCAGTTCTCTGTTATTTCAAGGAAATTTCACACAAAGTACAGTATTATAAATGTTTTTTAATGGACATTGGGTAACAGTTTACTTGAAGGGGTCATGACAAAGACACTGACAGGCAGTGTTGGGGGAGTAGTTAACTACAAGTAGCGACGCTACTAACTTAACTACATTTTTCAGTAGCTTGGCAGTAGCTCAGTTGCTTTCTAAACAGTGTAGCTTTTCCAGCAGCGCGAGCTAAAGCTACATTGCGTTTGTCGAGCCTTCGCGAATCAGTGCAATGCAAGTATATTCTTCTTCTTGTAAGATTACAAACTAATTTTTTGCCATTACCGCCACCTGTTGTTTAATCACGCATCTTGCGGCTAACGGTTCACTGATGTACAGAAGTGGGTTGACACACCCATTTTATGATTATCCATGATGGAGCAAGACGTGACGGCAAATTTGTAGGATGGAGAAACTATTTGTCCAAGTTCAATCAGTATTTTTGAGAAAATGTTCTATGTACAATTAACGTTGGATGTATATTTTGTTCTTGCAATGTTGTAGGCTATTTGTTGCAATTTTCCACTTTTGACAAACAGTCTGAGATATTTGAGTGTTGTGTGTAATAAAACAATACTCTTTGAAATCATAATTGTATTGCATTGTTTTAAACACTAAATATTTTACTTAAAACATTCCTCAGACACTTATTCAGTTATTTATAATACACATTGTTCAAAAAAGCAAAAGTAGTTTCAACGTAGCTAGCTACTTTTTGATAGTAACTCGTAGTGTAGCTAACTACATTTCAAAAAGGATAGCTTGACTGTAGTTCAACTACTTTAACTTACGAGTAGCTTGTAGCTTGTCAAAGAGCACAGTTTCAGAGTAGCTTCCCCAACACTGCTGACAGGTTATGATGTATTGGTTTATGTCAAGACATCTTAAACAATGTCATATTTGCATTCAAAATGTCATTATTGAGCGAATGACAATTAATGATAGTTGTCATAAACATGCATAAACCCTACCTCATATTCATAACATGTCATGTCATGGTTATGAAGGTGTCATGTCAGTCTTATGCACACCCCTTCAAGTAAAGTGTTACCGGACATTGTTAATAACTGTAAATGACAGTCTGTGAAAAGTGTCCATTGTGGTGTCGTGTGTGTCTCGTTCTCCCCAGCACTGCCAGTAACTCTAACCGGAGTTCTCCTGCTTGCTCTCCGGTCCTGCGGAAGCGCTGCCGCTCTCCCACTCTGCAGAACGTCGAGGCGGATAACATGGTGGAGAAAGGCTCTGAGCAGTCCGACACCTCCAGGTCCCCGTCCACCCCTGAGCAACTGGTCACGCGCAACTTCTCGGGACAGTCCACGCGCAGCGGGGGCAAGAACTCCAAGGTAAGACCTTCTCATTCGGCTCGTTCTCCAGGGGAAATGAATCTGAGGCACTTGTGAATACGTTGAGATCCAGGGTCCTACCTGCTACCTCACCTCTTGTTGTCCCATAGATATATACATTAGATGTCATCTTGGGGTTCTAAGCATAGATATCCACAATAAAGGCAAGACGGCGGAGTTTCTATCGTCATCACCGGCGGCCATCTTGTCACAGGCAAGCTTCAGCACGAACACAAATACTCTTATCTCGTTGAAATCTTGACGGATTTACAAACGGTTTGGTTTCTATAATTCTGGAAGATTATTTATTTATACACTTAGTATTCATAAGTATGCATTGTCATAACTACATCTCTGACGTTTATAACAAACCAAACCGTTTGGAAATCGGTAGAAAATTGAGCAAGTTATAGTTATTTAAAAAGTACGTGCACCATTAAAACACAATGTTACGAGTGAGCGAGCTGCCTGTGACAAGATGGCCGCCAGGTGCAGACGTCGACCTCCATTGGCCTGCAGCGTGGACGAGACATCTAGCCTTTATTGTGGATATCTATGGTTCTAAGCATGTGTCAAAACCGCCGCCATCTTGGAACAGGCGTCTTGTCATAGGAAGTAGCTATAGGCAACGCTGCTATCTCCACCATGTACTTCGCATTCATGGATTTTCGGACTTTTGTGATGGTCACACGAACGAAATCTGGACTCAATGATAAATACATGTCTGACCATTGGAATGAACCAAAAAAACGAATCATAAAATCGCATTCATTACGATTTATGGAGATTTTATTTCCGTTAGACCTTTGCCTACATTGACGCTTATGCATTAAAGAGGAGGGGCTCCCCTGATCCAAGATGGCAGCTCTATTGACGCATTCGTTCCAATGAACTGCCGTAGCCAATGTGACATCTAGTGTATATATCTAGATATGTTATTTTCCAATCATATCATGCGTCAGACGCTGATTTGGCAGATTTTCTATTACTAAGCATCCGCTGCTTTTACAGTCTTTATACCAAACCCATACTCTTTTCATCATTTTACACCAAAGTGTACTATGCAGGTATACTAAATTGTTTTACATATTTATTTTCACATTGAAATCATGTTCAAAGGTGACTTTAGTTTAAACGAGTCTATCTCAGACAGGAACGCGAACCTGCTCACCCTCTTACACTCCTCCTGTGTTGTGTGAACATATGAAGTCAGGAAAGGGTGAAGTAGCAGCAAACGCAGTCAATGAGAACATGTTCAGTCAAGACCGACACACCGACACAAACACAGGACCTCCAATTGCAATCCGAAGGCTCATTCTCAGGAAACGGTGCATTTATTGTAGAAAATGGCAGGAAAATGTAGGTATTTATGTAGGTTTTGAAAAACACTTTTGAAACAAGTCTCTTCTGCTCACCAAGACTGCATATTTGGTCATTAAATACAGTAACATTGTGAAATATTGTTATTTTTTAAATAGCTGTAATATATTTTTAAATGTAATTTATTCCTGTGAGCAAAGCGTACTCTTCAGTCTTCAGTGTCACATGATCTATCAGATATTTATTATGAATGAAACATCTAGAAACATCTATTTTTATGTTGAAATCAAATCAGTTGTGCTGCTTCATAATGTTTTGCAAACCATGATAAAAAAAAATTCAGGACTCATTGATTATTAAAAAAGTTCAAAAGTACAGCATTTATTTGTAATAGTAATTTTTTGTAACTTTATAAATCTCTTTACTGTCATTTTTGACTGTAAAGACATTATATATTTATACATAATTACATTATTGTTATATAGAACATACTAAAAAAAAAACATAAAAAATTGGCATGTAAATTAAATATTGTAAAATCTATCAATTAAGTTAAACAAGCATCTTTAGTTAGGCCCCTGCTGGTAGATATGTATAACTACACCATATGTTTCCACAAAGCTTCTTTCTCTACCGTCAGATATAAATCATATTATAAACCTCATTGATGCGGACACACACACACAGCACTGTCAATTGACATCTTTTTCTGAGAATGACCCGGAGATATTTGTTCATATGTTTCTAAGAACCGCTAATAAACTGGACTAAACAACAGATGATTTGTTTATGCATCTCAAAAATCACATTCACATGCGGGATTAAATGAATGGACGGTGTGAATGGAGAGATGATTTGATTGTGAAATGCAGAGTAACTCACATCATCATTCTGTCTGTCTCATTTCAGCTTTCACGGTCGCTTGTTCTTCCTGTTTTCTTTGATTTTGTCACTCACTCTGCCTTGTTTTTCTTTCTTTCTAGAGTTCAATACGTTTGCTGATGTCATATACAATGTCTTTGATCTAAACCTGACTATCTTCTCGCTGTTTGTGGTTGTTCTGATTTGTGTTCGTTTTCTGATTTCTGTTTTTCTCCTCGATGCATGCTAGTCTCACAAGCGACTTTCCAAAGTAAGCATTTCTCTCTTCTGTTCTGTATTCGCCCTTGTTTACACCCGCTGTGTCTGCATACCTCCTCCAGTGATCTGTTTCTCTGTTATCGATTTGTCTTGTCTGACTCTGCCTGTTTGTGTGAATGCAAGTGTGTGTCCAAGTGTTTGTTTAACCAAAAACCATCCGCTTTCCTGTTGGCAGTCACCTGTGATGCTTTTATTCTGCATAATAGTTCGATAAGCGGTTAAAGAGATCAAGTGTTTGACGATAATGGTTAAAATATTGTTTAATTGTTTGGTTATTTGGTTTCACTTCATTTTAAGGTGACGTTGTTACAGTGTCATTTTAATTGAGGACATTTGGTTCAGGGTTAGTTACTTGTAATTATGCAACATTTACTGTTATTGCTATAGTAAGAAAGATGTGGAACTATGTCACCTTAAAATTTGGTGTCAACATTTCCTTTTACATCTCAGAATGAATGCAGTTTAACATAAGCTCAAATCAAGAGAATGTCAAATGGCATGGTTTATTTCACCTCATCTAGTTCATTTATCAACACATTCTGTACATTTTAAACCCTGAAACAGTGAAATTCCCAACATTTAATTCCAATTTTTCTAATAAAACAGCTGAAAAGACTTTTTATCATAGCACAGAGGTTGCATATAGTCGGGGAGCCAAAGTCTCAAAAGCTCTATAAAATCGGTTAAACCTGAGATGGTCTGCCATACTTTTTATTTGTATTTTTTCTGTTAACTTTGACCCTAAGAACAAATAATTAGAGGGTCTGCTCTGCCGGAAATATCGCGAAAAAAAATTGTGGCCATTTTAGTGTGCGCACCCTTTATTTTTTTATCAGAAAAATCATTTTTTTTTCATCAAATCCTCAGTGGGTTGTGTACAGTAGGTTCTCAATAAATGCAGCCGTTTTTTTCACTATTTTTCCACTATTTTCAGGTTTACTTCATTGGCAATCAACTATTCCCTTAAGTTATGACATCAGGCAATATGCCTTTCTTTTCACCAAACACTATACTCATTACACAGAAGAAATTATAAAAATCCAAACAAAATCAATGGATCTGTGATGATTTCACTACTAGTTGGCAATCAACAGGCTCAAAAAAATAATTTTTCACATTTTTCTGATAAAAAAATAAAGGGTGCGTACACTAAAATGGCCACAATTTTTTTTTCGCGAAATTTCCGGCAGAGCAGACCCTCCAATTATTTGTTCTTAGGGTCAGAGTTAACAGAAAAAATACAAATAAAAAGTATGGTAGACCATGTCAGGTTGAACCCATTTTTGAGACTTTGGCTCCCCGACTAATAAGTGTATTCATTCCACAACCACAATCTAAAACACGATAATCGAGATTCATGTATGGATTTATTCAACGTGATCTCATTAGTATTCGTAGGTACGTTTCTATAGACAATGAAACGCACAATATTGGCATATCGACAGCACTAAAACGTAAATATATATGTATGAACAACTTAACAGATGTTCAAATGTGTACGAATCCCTGTTTATGAAAATTAAACTTGTGACATTAATATATGGATTCTATTGTATGTAATTGTAATATCAATAACACAACAAGGATTACAAAATGTTAAACAAGACTACATTTTAAAACCTTAAAACCGATTATTTATTTTGTTTGCTGTGGAACACGGATGGCATTTTCTCATTATTGTCTTAAGCAGTGACTGACAACAATATGGCAAACATTAGTTTCCCACACCTGTTTCTGTTCATTATGTCTCCTTCTGTATTAAAGGGATAGTTCGCTTTGAAATTGATTTTTGGTATGTTTTAGCTTACCTCAAGGCCATCCAAGTTGTAGGTGTCTTTGTTTCTGCTGTAGTTTCAATTTTTGATATTTTTAGGTCAAACCGTTCTCGTCTGTCAGTTTTGCGCCGACGTCACGTGAAAACTGGAGGCGGCCAATGCAAACCAGCACAGATTCGGCTACATAATAAGGAGCTTAAATTACTTTTATTATTATTAAATATCATCTTATTGTGTTGTTTGGTGCGAGTATCAATGAAAAATGAATATGCTCTGGACTTTTTATTTACCGATTGAAGTGCGCCTGGTAAATGCGCCGTTATAATAGTATTGCGCCATGAAACAAGCGCACCTCGTTCATCACGCTCTTAAAGGGATGTGATATGACGCTCTTATTGGTTTATTTCCGTTACGCCCAAACCACACCTATGAATAATGAAGCTACTCCAGACCAACCCCTTTTAGATTTGCGCCAGGCGCAAGAGGCGTTTATCCCGCTGGGAAAATAGCAACAGCGCCAGGATCCGCCCACGAAGTTACTTGCGCTTAATTGCGCTTTGACACTTGCGTTTCAGATCGTTAAAATAGGGCCTATAGTGTTACTACACATTTCTTTATTACTTCTTATTATGTTTTATATGTTATTTTTATATCATCTATAAAATTGTTTTGTTGTTTGGGGTAGGGTTAAGGGATCGAAAAATGTATCTATAAAACGGTAAAAGGGCAGTTATACTAAATATCTTTATGATATGAAGATTCTTAATAATGTTTACGTTTGATTCTTGTTAATACGTCAAATTTGTACGTTTCAGCATTAAAAATGTACGCTTTGTACCTGTAAATGTTACGTATTAACACCCATGTATTAATAATGGGACCAGGCTGATTTATTACAGTTCGGCGTTGAGAATAATTGATTGTAGATTTATTGGTAAAGAGCACATGATGTCTCATGAAGAAACAGAATATTACACTCATTCGAGCCCAATATCGCGATGGAGATCGCTAAACTGCGCCGCACATGTTCGCCTGTGTCTTCAGATCATCAGTGCATTTTCTGCATCCTAGAGAAAGCATGTGTGCATGGTTGCCAGAGAACCGCCTTTATGTACGCATATATTAAAGACATTTTAATGACAATAAATGCATTCTTGATATAGATAAATGATATAAATGCATTCTGCAAAGTTGTGGGTAAAAATGTGACATGCAAAACTTAATCTATATGACTTTAGATTTCTGTGTGATGAAATCCTTGAATAATCAGCTCTACTGTGTTATAAGTCCCGTGAGTCATCTGTGTTTTCAGAGAGGTAATGATTTATGTAGAAGATTGAGGGAATCCCCGACCCAGGACTGTTTCTGATCGATAATTTAGTAAAAGAGTAAATCTTTTAACTATTAACCAGTCCCATGTAATACAGACCATAAATCTCTTTCTTTTAAATCTTTCTTTCTTTCTTTTTTTTTTTTCTTTGTTTGTTTGTTTCTTTCTTTCTTTCTTTCTTTTAGATTTCTTTGTTTGTTTGTTTGTTTCTTTCTTTCTTTGTTTCTTTCTTTCTTTCTTTTAGATTTCTTTGTTTCTTTCTTTTTTTGTTTGTTTCTTTCTTTCTTTTAGATTTCTTTCTTTCTTTGTTTGTTTCTTTCTTTCTTAGTTTGTTTTTTTCTTGTTTGTTTGTTTGTTTCTTTCTTTCTTTTAGATTTCTTTCTTTGTTTGTTTGTTTCTTTCTTTGTTTCTTTCTTTCTTTGTTTGTTTTTTTTCTTTGTTTCTTTCTTTCTTTCTTTTAGATTTTTTTGTTTGTTTCTTTCTTTCTTTCTTTGTTTCTTTGTTTCTTTCTTTCTTTCTTTCTTTCTTTCTTTCTTTCTTTCTTTCTTTCTTTCTTTCTTTCTTTCTTTCTTTCTTTCTTTGTGAAGTACATGTGATTCCAACGGTTAGTATGATACTATGATAATGACTCGATAATCGAATTAATAAGACAAGAAATTAGGGCTATCGCGATTAATCGCATCCAAAATAAAAGTTTGTGTTTACATATTATATGTGGGTGCACTGTGTATAATTATTTTGTATATATAAATACACACACATGCATGTGTATATATAAGAAAAAAATATTATTTATATATAAAATAATTATATTTATATATAATATAAATTATATATAAATCTATATACAGTATATACATGAAAATATTTCTTAAATATGTACAAGCATGCATGTGTGTGTATTTATATATATAAAATAATTATACACAGTGCACCCACATATATTATGTAAACACAAACTTTTATTTTGGATGCGATTAATCGCGATTAATCATTTGACAGCCCTACAAGAAATAATTCAAATTGCATGTAGGTTGGATTTAGGGTACTTTAGGGTACCCTCTATTTTGGATTCTTATTTATTTAATTTTTTTCATTTTATTTTATTGGAGTGTTCTTATGACGCTTTAAAATGCCGTTAGATTGGCGGCTGATGGACGCGAGCGACGCCAAGGTCACGGGTTCGATTCCTAGGCAACACACTTTGGATAACGGCATGTGCCAAATGCATAAAATGAGCTTCCAGATTCTCTGTTTTTCTTTTTCATCCTGTTTTCATTGTTTTACAGTATGACAGATTAAACCTGATTAAAGTAAGCATTTCATGTTGTTCTTCGATTGACCCCTGAACTAACACTATACCTCAAGTGTTAGTTCATCCGTGTTAGCACTCCTGAACTATTCTTCCAAGCCCTCTCTCTCTCTCTCTGTTTGTCCATATGTACACACGACAGACCGTCTCACACCTCTCTTGAGTTTAGATCAGATTAGCCCACATTAAACCGCCCAATCCCTGAGCCTTGACGGAATAGACCAGTATGTGTGTTAGCAGGTCTGTGTGAGTTTATCTATAGGTTTAAAGGGTCATGGCTGTGTGCTGCAGGTCAGGCTTATCTTTCACAGTAACACACACACACACAGGTGTCCTTCTTTTTGGAGCAGTAGGCTAATTGAATGGCTTATCGGCGGACACACACTTCTTGTCGTTTTGTCTGCTCACTTTAACCGAGACTATAAAACAAGTGAGCCCATTATGTGTCGTAGCTTTACAAACGAATAAAGCGTGAGAATTTGTCTTCAGCTTAAGTGATTCCCCCATTTTATTGTATTAAGATGGTGTTTTGTACCACAGAAGGTCTGTAGAACTAGTGTATCTCTATAATTCAGACATGTATCTCACACTACCTTTTCTGTTGGCAAGAACATTTATTTTTTTCCATGAGTTGTTTGCTAGGCTGGAGATCATGCCCTTAAAGACCCCTGAAATGTTTTTGGCGAGTGCAAGTTTATGTCCTGTGTCGATCCTTTTGAAAGTTGGGGTCAGATTGGGGTCGGTTTGACCTTTTAGTGAATGTCACAGTCTGGCGACTCACTTTGCAGGATTAAGTCATAATTAAAAGAAATTTTCACATTGTGTGACAATTTCTGTAAAATAATGTAATAATTATGAGAAATAAAGTCACATTTTGAGATATAATGTAATAATTATGAGAAATAAAGTCACATTTTGAGATATAATGTAATAATTATGAGAAATAAAGTCACATTTTGAGAAATAATGTAATAATTATGAGAAATAAAGTCACATTTTGAGATATAATGTAATAATTATGAGGAAAAAAAGTCACATTTTGAGATAAAATTTTCACTTTTGAAAGATATAGCCAATTATGAGATAAAAAGTGGCATTGTTATATATAATGTCACAATTACAAAAAGTGAAAAATGTAGTGAATAGATACAATGTAATAATTACAATTAATAAATTTACTTTGCCAGATAGTCATAATTACAAAAAATAGTCACATTGCAAGACATGTCATAATTACGAAAAATAGTCACATTATGAGATATACTGTCAAATTATGATAAATAGTCTAATTGTTACACACAAATGCATAATTACTATAAATAGTCATTTTAAGTATAGATTCATACTTACAAGGTTAATTTGCAAGATGTAAAGTCATAATTACGATAAATAGTCACATTTTGAGACAATGTCATAATTGTGAGATATAATGTCATACTTATGAGAAATAAAGTCACATTTTGAGATATAATGTAATAATTATGAGAAATGGTCACTTTTGTAAGATATAGCCAATTATGAGATATAAAGTAGCATTGTTATTTTTAATGTCACAATTACAAAAAGGGAATAATGTAGTGAATAGATACAAAGTAATAACTACAACTAATACATTTACTTTGCCAGATAGTCATAATTAACAAAAAATAGTCACATTATGAGATATACCATCAAATTATGAACATTGTGAGACACAACTGCATAATTACAAGAAATATTCATTGTAAGATATAAATTCATAATTATAAAGTTATTTTGCAGGATTTAAAGTCATAATTAGAGAAATTGTCACATTGCGTGACAATTTCTGTAATATAATTTAAGATATAATGTAATAATTATGAGAAATAAAGTCACATTTTGAGATATAATGTAATAATTATGAGAAATAAAGTCACATTTTGAGATATAATGTAATAATTATGAGAAATAAAGTCACATTTTGAGATATAATGTAATAATTATGAGAAATAAAGTCACATTTTGAGATATAATGTAATAATTATGAGAAATAAAGTCACATTTTGAGATATAATGTAATAATTATGAGAAATGGTCCCTTTTGTAAGATATAGACAATTATGAGATATAAAGTGGCATTGTAATATATAATGTCACAATTACAAAAAGTGAATAATGTAGTGAATAGATACAAAGTAATAACTTAAAATTTACTTTGCCAGATCAGTCATAATTACAAAAAATAGTCACATTGCAAGATATAATGTCATAATTACGAAAAATAGTCACATTATGAGATATACCGTCAAATTATGATAAATAGTCTCAATGTGACACACAAATGCATAATTACAAGAAATAGTCATTGTAAGTATAAATTCATAATTACAAAGTTAATTTGCAAGATATAAAGTCATAATTACGAAAAAATAGTCACATTTTGAGACAATGTCATAATTGTGAGATATAACGTCATACTTATGAGAAATAGTCACATTGTGAAATATAAAGTCACAATTATGACTAATGAATTCAATTTGCAAGATATAAAGTCATAATTACAAAAAAAGTCATAATGAGACAATCGAAAAAAATATCATAATGTCATTGCAATTTAAAGTCACATTACAAAGCCAAAAGTATGAGACGTAAAGTCGCTATTCGATTTCCCTGATGTCATCAATATTTTTGGTCCAATTGTCAGGAGAAATCTCATTTTAAATGTCTACTTACTAAAAGTTTATTGTAATATTGTTTATTAAAGCATATCGATTGCCTTGAAACTCACTGATATGAACCTACAGGCATATAAATAGATTTGTTGTCCTGGGTGAAACAACATCCAGGATCATGTAGACTGAGCTGGACTGTGTTGAGTTATAAATAGAGCGGTAGTGATGTCACGCCTGTACACAAACACCCCCTGAAAAGTCTCTTTAAGTTTCTATTTTGGTTCATACGGGTGTGTATGTGTCTTATTCCCATGACATTTCACCTCTGAAACTGCTCATTTAGCCGTCTATCTTTGTATCACTCTATTTGTGGAAAGGCCAAATGATGAATACATGTGTAATTATGCAGTGAAGGGAAAGGTCAGTCTCACACACTTCCCCAGCTGCCACATGACAGCCCTCGCTCTGTGAACACACACTCTGTGTGTGAGGGGGCATTTGCAAATAACGCTACTCTTTTGCTCTCCGTAATTTAATAATCTTCTTCTCCTTCTCTTTCAGAAAAGCCAGAGCTGGTACAACGTAAGTCACACTTCCTATTAATTGTGTGTGTGTGCATGCGTGTAATACTTGTACTATTGATTGTGTGTCCACCTTGCCATAAATGTCACTACACAGTGTGTTCTTTGTGTTACAGTAACATGATGTTGCTTGGGCAAGGGAACAGGATCATTTAATTACATTTATTGCGTTTATTATTTAATTATTGTTTTATTATAGGGTTTTGTTTGTTCTTTTTTAATAGAAAATTACTTTCAAATTTACTTTGCGTGTGTCAGATGTGAAGATTGACGTGAACAAACGAGAATTATTGTGTTGTTTTAATAATGATTTACAGATCTGTCTGTCTTTCCTCTGTCACTGAGCGGTTCAGCCGCAAATATTATCGGACTCACGATCTTATCATCAATTTCCTCATGTTTTACATCTGTGTGTCACTGTGACTGATTACAACCATCCGCCTCTTCACGTTTTGGGTCAACAGTGTTGTGTATGGCAGAAATTCATAGCAACAGTATTTACATAGTACTACTTTTGCCTAAAGGAACGATTACAGCACTTTATTCTCATGCTATGTACTTATTATAGCAATTACAATGACTTTTTATTTTATATCATTAATTATCATTATACTGCGGAGCCCCACACATGACATGCGGGAAAAATATGCGTTCCCATGACTTATTAATATGTCATCACGTTTTACTAATTCGTTCCCTTTTAAATTGTGCGCACTATATAATAATTTTTTTCTTGGTTAACTTTATAGTGGCTAGTGCTTGGCGGTAAACCGATTCATACCGAAAACCGGTGTATATTTTGTCACGATGTTCATTTTTAATATACCGCCATACCGATGTATTTAATTACACAACGTTCGGAACGAACCGCCAACAGACACTGTTTCAGACGGACCCTTTACAATGTTGCACTTTTAAGCAGCGACGGTGAGGCGAGGGTAAACCACGACGCGATAAAATTCCAGTCGCGACTGTGAGAAGCCACACGTCAATCAAAAATCACAGCCATTCAGAACAGCGTGTGGGCGGAGTCTCTCTGTGAAGGCGCACTGCTGGCCCGCACTCGCATTGGAAATGGGTACGGACATAGAAATAACATTATTAAAAATCAAAACATTAACAAAATATACTCATTGACTAATTTTGTTATGAAGTACAGTTCATTATATGCTTTTAAAATCTGAGGTAAATTATCTGTTATCGCTTGTGGCACAGTGACCTAATAGAGAGCCTAAGTCCCGCCCCTCCGCTTCCGGCTCATGGGACCTTATTTCGGAAAAAATATGAATGGTAGTCAATGGCGAGAGACGACTTATCTTTTTATTCCGTCTGAACTGTGCCCTCAATTACACATATGATGTTTGTCAATTTAAAAGATAATTCTGAAAGTCAAAAACGTCGCAGTTTGTCATAAAACAGAAGAGTAACATTTAGTTTTATGTGAAAATCGCTCTATGAACTACATTTCCCGGGAAGCGAAACAACGAGTGAGATCCGCTGCTCGTGTGTGTGCAGTCTGGTACAAAACACTCAGGCATGACGGCGTAACGTTACGATTATAACGTAAGACTGTAGAAACAATGACAGACATTAGCCTCAGTAAAGTTAGCTTCATTCATTGAGAGAAAATGTGCGCCTTTGGGGTTTGTAGTCTTTGTAATTACGTATTTTCACAGTCTTATACCTCAACAGTTTTACATCAAACTGCGTCTTTCTTTACTTTAAAATGTATCTTTTAAATTGACAAACATCATATGTGCAATTCAGGGCACAATTCAAACGAGATCAAAATATTTGTTGTCTCTCGCCATTGCCTACCATTCAATATTTTTCCGAAATAAGGTCCCATGGTGGTCGACCGGAATAGGCTCTCTATGCCTTTGAACTTCGATAATCAGTTCCTCGTCGTCCATGTTTGATGATTACATATTCATGACACACAGAACTTCCATCCAATGAGATCTCTGTGTGGGCGGATCTGTCAGCCGCGGCGTTGCAGATATTGGAACCGTTTCCAAATTAGAAACTTTGCGTGTCGCCGTCGCGTCTGGTTAGGACAAAAACTCTGATTAACATGTAAAAGATACCTTTTATCGCGTGTCGTCGCGTCGCGTGTGGTTAGGACACGGTGTTATGTTACAGGGAAGGTGGATGCTGCAGAACTATGGCGTTATTTTCCTGTCAAATGTCGATTGTAGCGCGAAAGTGAATTAATAAGATGCGAATCTCTGGCACGCGCTCTCAGATACACACTGCTCTTGTAAGAATAGGTCTATTTTCTCTGGGCTCGCTTAGAGAATCCTGCTCTTAAAACGTGTTCAGTGCAATCGCGAATCTCTCCTCTTCCCCAGCTAACAATTTTAGGTAATAAGAACGTTTCATAACGTTCCCATTAAGTTATAAAAACGTTATTTCTGAATGTTCTAGAAACATTCGAAACGTCCAGTTTTTTTAGACGTTGTATTAACGCTCTTGCTTGGTTATAAGAATGTTATTAGAATGTTAGGAAATAACAATTTTAGGTTATACTGGGCGCTATTCTATACTACAATATTACTGAGAATAAAATAGACCATCCTAAGTCAATTTTTTGCAGTAATTCCTCTCAACCAATAGAAAATGTTTTGAACACCTGATTATGCATAAAAAAAAACGTCATAAACTGGAAAACCGGCTTAATTCTGAAAAAAAAAAAAACGTGATATCAATTTTTGGTCAAACCGCCCAGCACTAATAGTGGCCATGTTGTTTTAGCTAAAGCACAACAAGGGAACAAATTAGTACAACGTGGGCAAGATTTACTAAATTGAGGGAATGAAGTATTACATTGTGTGTATGGTTTACTGAAAACAAGGATGAATTATAAAATCATAGATTTACTCAAACGAGAGGACGACCAGTATATAAAACATTTTTTATCCCGGGCTCTGGATTGCATAATACAAATATCGTCTCTTTTTTTACCATTAGCCACAAGATATCGGCTAATTATGACTTTACATTCCACAATATCTTCCTTTTTTCTTCAGTCTTTTATCTTTGCTTTCTTTTTCTGTCTGTGGTTCTTTTCGTCTCTCTCTCTCTCTCTCTCTTTCGTTCACTTTTTCTCTTCAGCATGAGAGACAGCACATTCTCAGAGTAAGCATGATTTTACACTCAACTTCCTGTTTCCTGTCACACGAACTGTGGCTCTAACAGGCTTTGGCATGCGTATGCTCCTCTAATGACCTAATCATAGCATCTTCCCACCGAACTGTATTAAACCAAAGGCTAAAACACGTAATGCACGGCATTAAGACCCTCTTGTGAAAAAGTACACTTTACCATACTTTTAAAAAGTTGTATACAGTTAAAATTATAATTAAATACTTAACATGTAACACATCAAAATACACTCCCCTAAAGGATTATTAGGAACACCTGTTCACTTTCTCATTAATGCAATTATCTAATCAACCAATCACATGGCAGTTGCTTCAATGCATTTAGGGGTGTGGTCCTGGTCAAGACAATCTCCTGAACTCCAAACTGAATGTCAGAATGGGCAAGAAAGGTGATTTAAGCAATTTTGAGCGTGCCATGGTTGTTGGTGTCTGAGTATTTCACAATCTGCTCAGTTACTGGGATTTTCACGCACAGCCATTTCTAGGGTTTACAAAGAATGGTGTGAAAAGGGAAAAACATCCAGTATGCGGCAGTCCTGTGGGCGAAAATGCCTTGTTGATGCTAGAGGTCAGAGGAGAATGAATGGGCTACAACAGCATAAGATCCCACCGGGTACCACTCATCTCCACTACAAATAGGAAAAAGAGGCGACAATTTGCAAGAGCTCAGCAAAATTGGACAGTTGAAGTCTGGAAAAATGTCGCCTGGTCTGATGAGTCTCGATTTCTGTTGATAGAGTCAGAATTTGGCGTAAACAGAATGAGAACATGGATCATAATGCCTTGTTCCCACTGTGCAGGCTGGTGGTGGTGGTGTAATGGTGTGGGGGATGTTTTCTTGGCACACTTTAGGCCTCTTAGTGCCAATTGGGCATCGATTAAATGCCACGGCCTACCTGAGCATTGTTTCTGACCATGTCCATCCCTACAGTATTAGTATGGTGTTCCTAATAATCCTTTTGGTGAGTTTGAGTGTTCTTCATTAAAGCATGACAAAAGAATATTCAACCATAATGATTTAAAATCTACTTTAAAGTACAACATTTAATTTGGCATTAATGCAAAGCACACTTTTTAAAAGTGCACTTAAGTGTGTTAAGAAGCAATCATGTAATTGTACTCTCTTTAAATGGCTTTTTATTTCATTAATATATTATCTGCAAGCACAGTCTTTTAAAAATACACTTTTAAGACTTAAAGTACACTACAAGCACTGATTCAATACAATTAAGCACACTTCTTTTTCACAAGATCCTGCATGGTGGCAACGTTAGAGAGTCGCAATAAATAGACTGTGCCTCTCTCTGATTGGCTCTGGTTCTCAGCGGCGGGATGTGATTGGTTGATCACATCCCACTCTGCACATGCATGGATGTGAGTTGTTTGATGCATACTAAATGCACACTGGGCAGTTCAGCAACTGTGGCGTCATATTTATAGAGTGTTGTGCGTTTTTGATGCATTGTCTGTAGAGTGTGTGTCTGTGTGTTCATATGGGTAGAGATGATCTCCCATGGCTTTGTGATTACATCTCAACCGTTCTGAGCCCCACTGACCACCAAAGTGAATGTTGGACACTGCATTGTTGTATTGCGGATTATGTTTGGTTTATAAAAGAGCTGATTGTTACAGCTCGATGTCATCTGACACTGTACATAAGCAAAGCTTGTATGCAGTAGTTTATTTTAAGGCAGCAGTTTCATGACACATTTGTTCTCGCCACTTTCGAGGTAGAATTGGGAAAGTCATAAACAGGGAGTGTGAACCGAAAGAGGTTGTGTAACATTATCCTAGAGTAGACATGTCACACAAAGGCCCTTTCATTGTATTGTTGTGATCCACACACATTTTTGCACTAGATTAAAATGATTCAAAGAGATTTTTATTGTATTACATTATTTTTTTCAGTCAGTGGTCACCAACATTCTTCAAAATCAATCAAACTTTAAAGGAGTAGTTCACTTTTAAAAAAAACTTTTGCTGATAATTTACTCACCCCCATGTCATCCAAGATGTCCATGTCTTTCTTTCTTCAGTCGAAAAGAAATTAAGGTTTTTGATGAAAACATTCCAGGATTTTCTCCATATAATGGACTTCAATGGGAACCAAACGGTTCAAGGTCCAAATGAGAGTTTCAGTGCAGCTTCAAAGGGCTTTAAACGATTCCAGACGATGAATAAGGGTCTTATCAAGCGAAACGATCGCTCATTTAAAAAATAAATAAAAAAGTTTTATAAGCACAAATGCTCGCCTTGCTCTGTTTTGTGATGAGTGTTCATGACTCTCCTGTTTGAACTCGTTCATCAAAATGAACAAATCTTTTTTTGAGCCATGACTCGAAGATAAGACCCTTAGTCATCGTCTGGTGTCGTTTAAAGCCCTCATTTGGACCTTGAACCGTTTGGTTCCCAATGAAGTCCATTATATGGAGAAAATCCTGGAATGTTTTCATCAAAAGCCTTAATTTCTTTTCGACTGAAGAAAGAAAGACATGGACATCTTGGATGACATGGGGTAAGTAAATTATCAGCAAAAATTTTTTTTTAAAGTGAACTACTCCTTTAAGGTTTGAACTCTCGCAATGGAAGTCTTGTTTGGGGAAGTCTCATATGTAAAACAATTAATCATACATAAGACAAATAGTACACATGATAAAGACTTTTAGGGAAAATTAGCTAAGGGGAAAGAGAGCTCAATCCCATAAAAGTGCCGATGCAAGTGGAAAGTCTACGAACGACACGCAAATTAAAGAATACAGACGCAGCCGGCTCATTTCCATAATGACCAATGCAATCTACCAAGATAATAATAAGGTCAGCCGTAAAAATAACCTTGTCCACACCTTTTCAGCGCTGCATGTCTTTAGTAAATGCTTACAGTAGTTTTTTTACGGCAAAATAAGTTTTGCACCGTTAGTAAATCTGGCTCATAATTGTACGTTTTAATGAACATTTCAAATATTTCTAAGTTACTCAGAGCACAATCAGTACTTTCACCCGAAACTCAAATAAATACGTGTGAACTGAAGTTGTGTTTACATGAGGTGGGAACCATAGAAAACAGTTAATTAGTTACTAACAAAACATCTGTATTGGTGTTATATATGGCTTTATTATAAATATAGATCACATACTATATATAACATTAGTAATATAGTGTGTTTTAAAGGGAAAATTGACCAAAAATATGAAAATTGTGACATAATTTGCTCAATTTTATTTCCATACAATGAAAATCAATGGTCACCAAAATGTTTTGGTCACCAACACTCTTTAAAATCAATCAAACTTTAAGGTTTGAACTCTCGCAATGGAAGTCGTGGTTGGGGAAGTCTCATATGTATGCTTAAACAATACATCATACATAAGACTAATAGTACACATGATAAAGACTTTTAGGGCCAGATTTACTAAACAGGGCAAATTAGCAAAGGGCAAAGAGAGCTCAATCCCATAAAAATGCCGATGCGAGTGGAAAGTCTACGAACGACACGCAAATTAAATATTATTAATTTAAATATTAATAATATATAATAATATCATATATTATTAATATATTACTATATTATTAATATAATAAATATAGATCACATACTGTATTTAACATTTCTACTTTAGTGTGTTTTAAAGGCGTTTAAAGGGAAAATTGACCAAAAAAATCAAAATTCAGACATAATTTGCTCACTTTTTTTTTTCGTACAATGAAAATCAATGGTCACCAAAACGTTTTGGTCACCAACACTCTTTAAAGTATCTTCCACAGAAGAAAGAAAGTCTGGTGAAACATGTGGGTGATTAAATGATTTCATTTTTGGGTGAGCTATCCCCTTCAAGGTCGACATTTGCGCATAAAAGACCATTTGAGTTGTGAAAGAGTAACCATAACAGATCGCACCCTGAAAGTTTGCACACTTGACATAAGAAAACAAACTGATCCCCTGATGACATTATTGGAGTTGTCACACCCACTCTTGGTACCAGCCACCGGCGTCTCTCATTGTTTACTCTTTTAGTTAATATATAACCAACTTCACATGCTCATCGCCAGGACTAAACACTCTCACACACATCCAGCTCTACAAAATCAGAGGCTTCTGATGCTCTGGATCTCCACTGGAAGGTTTTTGGATATTTGGTTCTCCATTGGGAGAAACTATCCATTCGCCTTCATGGTTATTGATGTATAACTGCTGAAGGGAGAATACGTTTGGGGCTGAGATTAAAGTTGAATCCTCAGTCTTTGTTCTTGGTTATCTTTAGGTTTCTGACAGCACAAATGAGTCGAGGTTGGAGCACGTAAATTAGAGCACGTAAATGATTAAAAAAAAAGGACACGATAACCCGAGGAATTGGCACAAAGAGTTTCCAGATGGTCTTTATTTGTCATTTTCGAAGACCGTTTGAATTCGAGTAGTAACAACTGGTGAATGCAAAAAACAAGCACAAACTCTGAGGACTTATGGACTAAACTCCCAGAAGAACAATCTCTGAAAGCCAACAACCAATGTGCAATGGAGATATTAGTAGCCATTGCATGCTGAGGTAACGATTAATCGCTTGTGGAAGTAACTTGGATGTTCCTCCTTTATCAAGCGTTTACAGCTCGAAAAAAGGATGAAGAATCAAGACGGACATGTTTACAGCAGCGAACTGGAACAAACAGCAGCATAATAAAGCATCTGTCCGCCCAGGTTACTAAAGGCCACGACTGAATCATGTGGCGTTAGTCGGAAGAGCCAGACACTCACACACACACCCTGATAGAGGACGTTACACCCTGATGAACATCTGCGATAGCGGAGACAATCCTTGAAGGAGCGACTGAATCTGGGATACTTATTTACAGAGCCATCCGAATCCAAAATATTATCAGGATCTTGTCATTGATGAGCTGATCCATCCGTCGGCTGAGGTACGAGAGAGAAACGGAAACATGGATTCATCCCTGGACTCTCAGGAGGACTGGGAGACACTAATGGAGCTGGAGGAGGCTTTGGCGGGATGGTTAGTTCAGGGTTCAGACCGGCCCTGGGGCCCGTGGGACGACCCGTACCAGGATGAGAAAATCCCTGCCGTGAGTCTCAGATTGGTGTAGGGTCCACTGTTGATAGTAACAGGGCAGTGTACAGCAAGTTATAGAGTAAAAACAAGTGTGTGTATGTACAGTGTAGCAGGGCTTGACATTAACGCTTGGGACAATTTTATTTTTTATTTTTTTGAAGGGGCAAGTGAAAGAGAATTTAACTTTTCCGAACGGACAAGCAGCCTGATAAAAATTTGGACTAATTTCCTAATCCTAATTTTATTACATTCCCTGTAAACGGCAACTGAGAAATCTATAAAAATCACTTTATAATAAGAAACATACTGTGGATTTTTTTTTTCAAATTCATTTGATATAGATATGCAACATTGTTATATGACTGCAAATGTTATGTTGATTTTATAGTTTAATGCACAAGTAGTTAACATTAAGTCACTTATCTTTTAGACACAATATTAACTTTTTTTTTTTTGTTCTGTATCACCAACGAAACAAAGATCGCAGCGGAAGTATCGCGATTCTCAAAGCAACGGCCGCGTTTTGTTACTCAATGAAATATTAAACTCTTAACATTATTTATTGCAGTTTAAATTTTTTAATTTGATTGGCAACAGCGCTATAGTGTATTATTTTTTTTTTTATTATAATTGCATTTATTGATCAATTGTAAGAATTTGACATGAAAGATGATGCATACATTTGCGTTCTTTATAAACACCCTGGGGTAAATATTTTAAAAAATCGCATATTTAAAGATGTAAACTCTGTAGAGATGTAAACTGATAGAACTCTGATAAGAATTTTTTTGTTTAGTTTTTTTCTGGAAAAGTAATTTTTTTACTCTGACAAGTGAATGACCGATTTGACCGATTGATCGAGCCTGTACAATATTGTACATACAAAAATTACATTTTTATTCTTAAGAGATAAACAAATATTTATATAATATAAATGAATATAATAAAAAATAAAAATATTTAATATATTTTAATTAATTGCTCTTTAACTTGGTATAAGGTAGAAAAAACATTTAATTAAAATGTTAGCACTAAAGTGTCAGTTCTCTCTATATATGTTAATAGCATATATATATATATATATATATATAAGTAGTTACTCATTGTAATATTGAGAAATTACCATTTAAAAACAATTTAGTAAATGTTAACAGTGTCAGTATTGTCTATATTTTTAATGTTAATTTCATATTTTTTAAATAGAATTCAGCAAATAAATATAATTATAAATATAATTCGTCCATCCTTCCATTCATTAATTCTCCAAACCACTTATTCCTATATAATATTAAATATAGTTGCCTTAACTTCTGTTTAGTTCTAAAGGTATTTTTGTTATTTCAAAAGTATTTATCATTATATTGTTGTTGTTGTTGTTGTTTCTTCCGTGGCAATATCACGATCCTTCACGTTCAGAAGGATCACCATTTTGCACTGTTGATTTCAAGACTCTATCAAAATCTAAAGTGGTTGTCTTGTCTGAGAGCATTTGTATACTTTTGCTCTGCTGTTAATGACGCCCGCTGTACTTTGGCTCATTAACAGGAGTGAAGTTTGTGAATGAGAAGCCGTCGCGACACACTGGGAATGAACTCATTGGGGTTCATCTCACGCTGCTGCATGGCAAAACTAAACCAGCGTTTGACTGAAGATCAGCTGTGTGAAAGAGCAGAACGGCTGAGTGTGTGTGTGTGTGTGTGTTCCTCATCGGTTGTTTTATTTGTGTTGTAGGTCCTCAGTCCCACATATAAGCAGCGTAATGAAGACTTCAGGAAGCTCTTCAAGCAGTTGCCGGACACAGAGCGTCTTATTGTGGGTAAGAGTGTGATCATTAACATATCAAAGACTTCTAATTAGCATTTTGACATAGTATTCATGATAAGGGAGAGCTAATGTAAATAACTGTGAATAATATTTTAAAAGTTTTGGTAACGTAATTGATTTTTGTATTATACACTGGAAAAAGCGGTGTCATAAAATCATTTCTTTCAGTTTGTCTAAAAGCAAATAAAACTCCATATAGAAAAAAAAATACAGAAACAATTTTGTTTAAATAATATTTTCTCTTGACATCCGAGTGTTGATGTGCCGAACACACGCTGGCTGGCTTTATGGCTTTATGATTGTTTTTGTTTTCTTTGTACACAGACAATAAAATGCATATAGCAAGTAAACTAAATGTCATTATTTTTATCTCAAGTAAAAATTCTACTTTATTATTAAAGCTAATATATACACGGTATAAAGCCATGTGTGTGTGTGTGTAAATATATATATATATACAGTATATACATATATATATATATATATATGTCACATTAACAATTATTGCGTAATACATTTAGCTTATGTTTAAAGAAAATATATTTATTAAGTATACGGTCTATATAATAGATAATATTTTTACTTTGTTTTAATGTATGTGTCTTTGAGACAATACATATTTTTGATTAACGTTAAATCCAAATTTAAATTTATAAATACAATTTGAGAAAAACTAATAAATTTGGCTGTACCAATTTTTTTTTAAGTTGGTCCAAAGAATATATTTTTTCATTGTATGTGGATATTTAATACATATTTTCATTAATTATCAAATGTGTCAGTTGATAATTAATAATAAATTATATTTAACTATAATTAACTTTTAAATGTATAATTAATAGTTCATTTTTATTTTAATGGAATGCTTTATACTTTAAAGGTTCTTCATTTATTTGATTATTTTCTTCTTTAATTTGGCACTTGGTGTAAGGGGAAAAAATATTGAATTGAATGATTTGACATCTTTTGAACGTTGATGTTGTCCTGTCATTGGCAGACTACTCCTGCGCTCTCCAGCGGGACATCCTCCTGCAGGGCCGCCTCTACCTCTCCGAAAACTGGATCTGTTTCTATAGCAACATCTTTCGCTGGGAGACTCTGGTATGATACACTTTAAAGTTCCCCTATTATGCTTTTTGGAATATTACCATTCCTGTAGTGTGGAATATTGTGGGATTAATATCCTGCCATGATTCAAAACTGAAAATAAACTTCTGAAAGGTTGAAACTAAGTGTTCAAAAACTCAAAATGTTACAATTTTTTTTTTTTGTAACATCGAAAAATATGAACAATGCTCATGAACAATGTCTACTTTGAACACTAGTTGTAGCTGAGACTAAAAGAGTGGTTCGTGTTGTCGACATGTTGAGAAGACGCTCTTTTCTGCACAGCAAAAGCAAATCCACTTTGCATGCAGAATGAGGAATCGCACTCGAATCGATGCTGTAAAACCAACGGCAATGTTACTGTTGGAAGATCCAGAGCTCATATTCAGTTTGGTTTCTGACCAATCACAACACTCTGGGCCATTTGACCAATCAGAGCAGAGAAGGCTTTCAGAAAGGAGGGGTTTAGAGAGATTGAATCCTTTATCCATTTCAGATTCAGACACTGTGAGGAAAGAGTTGATGCTGCAATGTATGTTATGAGAAAATTCAAGTGGTTTTTGACCTTGAATGCATGTAAACATATTGTCGGAGACCTTTAAAACAAAATTAAGGACCTTTAAAGGAGTAGTTCACTTTTAAAAAAAACTTTTGCTGATAATTTACTCACCTCCATGTCATCCAAGATATCCATGTCTTTCTTTCTTCAGTCGAAAAGAAATTAAGGTTTTTGATGAAAACATTCCAGGATTTTCCCCATATAATGGACTTCAATGGGAACCAAACGGTTCAAGGTCCAAATGAGAGTTTCAGTGCAGCTTCAAAGGGCTTTAAACGACACCAGACGATGAATAAGGGTCTTATCAAGCGAAACGATCGCTCATTTAAAAAATAAATTAAAAAGTTTAAGTTTTGTAAGCTCAAATGCTCGCCTTGCTCTGTTCAGTGATGAGCTTTTTTGTGACTCTCCTGTTCAAACTCGTTCATCAAAATGAACGAATCTTTTTTGGAGTCATGACTTAAAGGGTCCTAGATAAGACCCTTATTCATCGTCTGGTGTCGTTTAAAGCCCTCATTTGGACCTTGAACCGTTTGGTTCCCATTGAAGTCCATTATATGGAGAAAATCCTGGAATGTTTTCATCAAAAACCTTAATTTCTTTTCGACTGAAGAAAGAAAGACGTGGACATCTTAGATGGCATGGGGGTGAGTAAATTATCACCAATATTTTTTTCAAAGGTGAACTACTCCTTTAATATAGCACAAACGGCCACTTTTACCAAATCTTTTGGATCTGAGAAGAGTTATGTTGTGTTTTGTTGTTGCGTGTGAACAGCTTACAGTACGGCTGAAAGACATCTGCTCCATGACGAAAGAGAAAACAGCACGTCTGATTCCCAACGCCATCCAGGTGTGCACGGACACTGAGAAGGTGAGACACACAACCGCACTCAGATCCGACTGCACACATTAACACATTCAGTTAAGCTGTTCTCGATCTTCCCTTCAGCACTTTTTCACGTCATTTGGTGCGAGAGACAGGACTTACATGATGATGTTCAGACTGTGGCAGAACGCACTGCTGGACAAGGTGAGAATATAAACACGGTAATGTTGATAATACTGATAAAGCTGCAAACTGTTCAAAGGGCTTTAAACGATTCCAGACGATGAATAAGGGTCTTATCAAGCGAAACGATCGCTCATTTAATAAATAAATAACAAAGTTTAAGTTTTATAAGCTCAAATGCTCGCCTTGCTCTGTTCTGTGATCGTGATCGTTCGTGACTCTCCTGTTCGAACTCGTTCATCAAAATGAACGAATCTTTTTCCGAGTCAATTGGTTCATTTCATTCGTTGAAAAAAAGGTTAAAATTAAAATGTATACTAATAATAATGTTAATCCACTTTTTATTTTTTTTATTTTTACTATACGCAAGTTTTGCACGATTGCGAATCCTTTAATTGACCTATGGCTAAGCCACGCCCCCTCCACTCACTGGAGCGGTCACAGTAGGAGATTTCACAGGAGGCAATTGGTGATTTTTGGAGACAGAAAGATTATATATCATCTCGAAGTCGCCTAAAGGCCCTTAACTATGCATTGGAGGGTTATATTAATAATTTTATTGTTGAGAAGGTCGATGAAAAGCTTCAGCTCCAGGCAAAGATGTACAGGTCAAAGTGTAAACGTGATAAACCGCATATCGTTGCCATCATCGTTTGGTGCTACATTATTTACATGAATCATTCAGCACAACACTGTTAACATTTGTTATCTCGGTTATTTACGGATACATTAATGAAGCGAAGTGACATGATGTACACCGCAGCTAGAAGCTAACGTTAAGGTTTTAGGCTAACGTTAGCCTTAACGTTACGTTAGCATTTTAAAGATAACATTCAAATACGTTGTTGACTTAACTTAGAACAGATGTAGACCTCCTTGTTTAATTTATCCACGTTTAGTTGGTGTTGTGGTCTACCGCACAAATTAATCCAGAGCAGACTCTTATCTCGGTTGAGATGTGGCTTGGAAAACAGTAAAATATATACACACCGTCGCCCAGCCTCTCGGGAACCTAGTGTCGGAGCTGTATGCACACCGTTTGACCATTTTAAACTTAAAATGACAAGAAAAAACGAATGAAAACTGACTAATGGCAATGCATTTCAATGGACGTGGAAGCAGAGAATGTCCGAGTGTATTGGGTTAGCTGTGCACTGTGATTGGTTAATCTCGTTTGGGGGCGTGGCTTAGCCATAGGTCAATTATAACCAACATCATGTAAATGTGATGTAAATAAGAGATTCATTGTGCAGTGTTGACAGCTTTTTATGGGATATTTTGCAAGAGAGCATAGAGAGGGACATTGTGCAGTTTAGTCAGTGAGTTTGCGCTGAACTGAATAGTTTGACGGCTTAGATGATTTCTGGATTGACAACATACGATGTGTAGTGTCTGAGCTCATAATGACGGCTATCTCTGTGTTCAGCCACTCTGCCCTAAAGAGCTCTGGCACTTTGTACATCAGTGCTACGGCAATGAGCTGGGACTCACCAGCGACGATGAAGACTACGTGCCGCCTGATGATGATTTCAACACAATGGGGTGAGTTAAACGTGCATGCTTTGTAGCGGCTTCTTGTCAACTAACGTTTAGTCGACTATTGGGGCAGCCCTCGTGCTTTCACAGCTATTGTTCAAAACCCCACATTTTCAAATTTGGCGTTTAACAGACATGAATGTTGGACAAATATAACTTCTCCATGCACGTTCAGATACTGTGAGGAGATCCCAGCCGAGGAGAACGAGGTCAGCAATGATAACTCATCCAAGAGCAGCAGTGAGAACAAACAAGACAACAGTTCACCTCTGACACACAAGAGATCCATCACCCAGTCCACCATCACCTCCACCACACCTCCCAGCAGCACTGACACACCGCTGTCTGTGAGTATCCCCGTTCCAGCTCGCTGCACACATGCCGTTTAAGAAACTGCTTTTAAAAGTGCGCCCTCTGCTGGTCACAGTTCGACATTGCAGCTGAGGAGTACACAGACTGCCTTGCTGATGGAGATCTTCTGAGTCTCCCTCTGCTGGTGGAGGAGAGGAACAGCGAACCGTCGAGTCCTCTGGGCCCCTTGCCTTCACCTTCACTCGACTTCAACGACAACGAGGATATACCCACTGATCTCAGTGATTCCTCAGACACGCATGATGAAGGTTTGGAAAAATGCTTTCACTATTTGCTGATAATGTACTCACCCCCTTGTCATCCAAGATGTCCATGTCTTTCTTTCTTCAGTCGAAAAGAAGTGAAAACATTCCAGGATTTTTCTCCATATAATGGACTTCATTAGGAACCAAACGGTTCAAGGTCCAAATGAGGGTTTCAGTGCAAACTGCAAACTGTTCAAAGGGCTTTAAACGATTCCAGACGATGAATAAGGGTCTTATCTAGGACCCTTTGAGTCATGACTCGAAAAACGATTCGTTCGTTTTTATGAACAAGTTTGAAGAGGAGAGTCACGAATGCTCATCACTGAACAGAGCAAGGCGAGCATTTGTGCTTATAAAACTTAAACTTTTTTATTTATTTTTGAAATGACCGATTTCGCCAGATAAGACCCTTATTCATCGTCGTTTTATGCGTTTTGGACGTTCATTTACACGACAGTGGCCTTTTGGGGAACATTGTTTTCAAGTTTTTGTCATATACATACAGTAAACAGAGAGTATTAGCTCAGGCTACAATGTTCTTCCACAAGACACGTGCAGTTTTGTTTATTAACCACATGTAGGTACATATTCAGAAGTCATAAATATATAATCTGCCTCACTTGAATGTGTGTTCAGGAGACGAGGTTCAAGCGTTCCACGAGGATCTGAATGGCCGTCACTACATCAATGAGGTGTATAAATTCAGTGTCGATAAGCTGTACGCCATCCTCTTCACGGAGTCCCAGTTCATGACAGACTTTATGGACCAGAGGAGATTCACAGGTCAGAACCCTTCATAAACATCTCCTCTCACTGAACCGAGATACGATCCAAAATAAACTCAAGACCATGAGGAGCTTTATTCTTCAGTAAAGTCCGGCTCACTGTATTTTATCTTGCCAAATAATTCAATATTTGAGTTTGGGAAGTATTATTTGTTTCAATACTTAACTACACGTCTAGAATAATTCTGATCGGTTATATTAGTATCATTGAGACACTATTATAGTTTTTATCAGTGGCGAGGTCCTCAATCCCTACTCTCAAATTACATCATTTTACAAAACACATTACTTGAAGGGGTGTTCATAATACTGACTTGACACCTTCATAAGCATGACATGACATATGTCTTAAATATGAGGTAGGATTTATGCATGTTTAAGTGTCTTTCGCTCAATAATGACATTTTGAATGCAAATATGACATTAAGATGTCTTTGTTATGACACCTTGACATTAAATTAAGTTAAACTGTCATGTGGTTGGCTTTGACATTGGCTGCCTGTCATGAGGCATTATAACTGTCTCATGAATATTTTTCTACTGTGCTACTAATTAAATTTGTCATTAAAAAGTTAAAATGGCTTCATGACAGCCAATGTCAAAACCAACCACCTGACAGTTTAATGTAATGTTAACCAATAAAGCTAGGTGGTTTCTTAAGTTTGATCATTAATCCGCTATGTCATGTTGTGTTGTCTTAGTAATGTCAAGTTGTCGTGACAAAGACACTGACAGGTAATGATGTATTGGTTTATGTCAAGATGTCATAAAGACATTTCAAACAATGTCATATTTGCATTAAAAATGTCATAACTGAGTGAATGACACTTAATGACAGTTCATATTAATAACATATGTCATGTCATGATTATGAATGTGTTATGTCAGTCTTATGCACACCCCTTCAAGTAAAGTGATACCCAATTGGCCTACATGGAAAAAAAAATAATTTGACAATTAAGATTAATTAAGTGCCATTTATTGTCAGACAGTTGAATGAAAACAACTAAATCCATTTACAGTATGAATAAAAATAACCAATGAAAATAGTTTAAGAACAACAAACGAAGGTTTAGAAGAGTTGCTTTTAGAGAGAAAAGCTGGCCAAGGATATATTTTTTCCATAATAATAGCATATTTGTGCTTCAGAAAGCGATCCAGAAGGACCTTCCATTTCTTCTCTAGTGCAGCTCAACCAATCTGGAAGAAGTGCACTGTTGTCAAAAACAAGCCGTTTGTTGTAGTTCCTGAAAAGTGTTTTCTGCTGAACTTTGAGATATTTTATGCTCAAAAAGCAACTTTACACACTGTCTACAGTTCTAAAATAACTAAGTGCTAACTAAAATAACCCCGCTTGTAATGGTTCTACGTTCAATCTTCACACATCCATTCTCAGATGTGGTGTATCACCCATGGAAGAAGGAGGATGCGGGAAATCAGACGAGGGATATCATGTACACAATCTCGCTGAGCAACCCACTGGCTCCTAAAACAGCTACAGTTACTGAGACTCAGGTGAGACCGCACGTCTCCTCGGTTCTGCTCTTTGGATTATTTGTTTTAGCAGTTTGTGTGTTTTGTTGAATATGTTTGAAATGCAACTTCTGTCTGAATTAGACCCTGTATAAGGCCAGCCAGGAGAGTGAGTGCTACATCATCGATGCGGAAGTCATCACTCATGACGTGCCGTACCATGACTACTTTTACACCCTGAACCGCTACATGCTAACACGTGTGTCCAAGAACAAGTGTCGGCTGAGGTACGGGTGAACAGGATGGTGGTTTTATGGCACCAATAATGCTCAATTGAAATTTTGATATGGTGTGATTTTCATATTGAAGTACTTGATTGTTTATTTTATTTTCTGTATGAAACTTACTGAAACAAAATTGTCTTCATGGGGATTATAAAAGTCACTTGTTGACTTGTTGATGTGATCTGTCTTCAGGGTGTCTACAGAGCTGAGGTACAGGAAACAGCCATGGGGGCTGGTGAAGGGCTTCATTGAGAAGAACTTCTGGAGTGGGCTAGATGAGAACTTTAAAAGCCTTGGTAAGACTCCATTTCAACCGTTATGAACCACCTACAGCCATAATGAGCTCCACTTATGACTATCTTGAGCCAACCTTCTTGAGCTCCACCTACAACAATAGAACTTCACACGCAACAATATTTAGCTCAACCCATTGCAAACTTGAGCTCCTTCTACAACACGTCTTATTATTATCGATGTTAAAACAATAGTGCTGCTTCATATATTTGTGGAAACAGTCATATTTTTTCTAGGATTCTTTGATTAATTTAATGTTTTTTTTTAAATAAAAATCTTTCCTAACATTATAAATATGGTCACTTTTGATCATGCCTAATAGCCTAGTATCCTAGCTTAAAGGGTTAGTTCACCCAAAAATGAAAATTCTGTCAGTATTTATTCACCCTCATGTTGTTCCAACCCTTGTAAGACCTTCGTTTATCTTCGGAACACAAATTAAGATATTAAGATCGAGGCTTCTTCAGGGCATGACAATTGCTGGCCTTGAAAAGTCATTAAAGACATCGTTAAAATAGTCCAAGTGACTACAGGGCCTCAATCTTAAGTTTATCAAGCGAGGAGAACACTTTTTGTGCACAAAAAACAATAAAAATAACGACTTTTATTTTTAAAAATTAATTTTGAACTCCGCCCACAACAATATCAGTCCCACTTTTTAATGGTGGTTTGTCACGACTAAAAATAAATAACTAACACCAAAATAAATCAGTACCAGTAATTCATACCAGTAAATAAGTGCTGTTGATTTGTCAGAGCTGGAGTTAGCAAAGATGGAGGACGCTGTAATGGAAAGTCACAGACTGTCTCCTAAAGCAGTGAAGAACTCCACCCTGAGGCGGAGGAAAAGGGGTCTCGCTCACCTCCGCACAGCCCATCTAGATGAGACTCTCAGCCCTGTTACCACACCAACAGACGAGGAGGTCATCCACCGCATCAAACACGTGGCAGGTGAGCTCATGCACATCCAAATATTCACAAACACTACATATTTTAGGTTTAAAGTGATCTGATATTTGCATGTGCATGTGCAGGTTCCACTCAGACAAGACACATTCCTGAGCACATGCCAGGGGCCGGGATTTTCAGCAACCTCTCTAAACCATTACTCATCATCAGCTTTGTGTAAGTAGAACTACTTTTGCTTATACTACTGACATGAGTTTATTCATTTTTATAAATCTGACTTGGTGAAACTTTTTTCTTTGCTTTTTTTTGGTTTTGCCTCTTGTGGATGGCCTTAGGATCTGTATAAGGTACATTCCTTTACTGATGTCAAATATTTATCCATTCTATTAAAAAAAATCACAGACTGTCATTCTAGTCCATTTTATTGGTTGCCCTCCATCAGTGTTATGCTGCGCTTAAAGGAGTAGTTCACTTTAAAAAAAGCTTTTGCTGATAATTTACTCACCCCCATGTCATCCAAGATGTCCATGTCTTTCTTTCTTCAGTCAAAAAGAAATTAAGGTTTTTGATGAAAAACATTCCAGGACTTTCTCCATATAATGGACTTCAATGGGAACCAAACGGGTCAAGGTCCAAATGAGAGTTTCAGTGCAGCTTCAAAGGGCTTTAAACGACACCAGACGATGAATAAGGGTCTTATCTAGCGAAACGATCGCTCATTTAAAAAAATATATAACAACGTTCAAGTTTTATAAGCACAAATGCTCACTTTGCTCTGTTCTGTGACTCTCCTGTTCAAACTCGTTCATCAAAATGAACAAATCTTTTTCTAAGTCAATTTGTTTGTTTAGTTCGTTGAATGGACCAAATGACTCGTTTTGATGAACGAGTTTGAACGGAGAGTCATGAACGTGCGTCATAAAACAGAGCAAGGCGAGCATTTGAGTTGATTGATTTTTTTAATGAGCGATCGTTTTCGCTCATCATCTGGAATCGTTTAAAGCCCTTTGAACAGTTAAACTGTCTTTTGGACCTTGAAACGTTTGGTTCCCATTGAAGTCCATTAAATGGAGAAAATCCTGGAATGTTTTCACCAAAAACCTTAATTTCTTTTCGACTGAAGAAAGAAAGACATGGGGGTGAGTAAATTATCAGCAAAAGTTTTTTTTGAAGTGAACTACTCCTTTAATTCAACGCAACAAGTCAGAATTTAGAATTTAGAACATAGAAAACAATAGACAATTTAACGAAGTTACCATTTTGTTTCTGTGGACAATAGTAGGAATATCTCACATTTGACTTTGATTTGAATGCAGCAAAAATATAGGCAGTATTTGGCACATTTCATAGACTTCCTCGACTAAGATGCGATCTGCCATCACAAGACCAGCGTTTGTCTGTTGTCTTCACTGAATGTGTCCATGGCCTTCTTCTAGGTGTGCTCAGTTGTGTGTTGTGTCTCTGCAGTCTGGTGCTACTGGTGTTTCTGAATGTGATGCTGTTCTATAAACTCTGGATGCTGGAGTATTCTGCACAGAGCCTTACCAGCTGGCAGGGCTTACGCCTACATGAGAGGTACGTACAAAACACTCACACACACCAAAACTGCTTCACTCTGATGGACGGATTCTTTTTCAAGTAGCAATTTTCTACATTACAGTTCAAAAGTTTAGAATGTTTTTGAACATGTTGAAATAATTTGATAAATATACAGTAATACTGTCAACTATCACTAACTGTTTTCTATTTGAATATATTTAAAATGTAATTCATTCCTACGGAGGCGTATTGCATTCACTTGAAGAAAAAAAAATCTACTCTGTTTTTCTGAATTAACGAGTTAATTTTTCATGAGAAAAAAAAATTGCTCTGTTTTTCTGAATTAATGAGTTAATTTTTCATGAGAAAAAAAATGTGCTCTGTTTTTCTGAATTAATGAGTTAATTTTTCATGAGAAAAAAAATTTGCTCTGTTTTTCTGAATTAACGAGTTAATTTTTATGAGAAAAAATTTTTTGCTCTGTTTTTCTGAATTAATGAGTTTAATTTTTCATGAGAAAAATTTTTTGCTCTGTTTTTCTGAATTAACGAGTTAATTTTTAATGAATTTTTTTTTTTTTTTGCTCTGTTTTTCTGAATTAATGAGTTAATTCAGAAAAACAGCAAAAATAAATTTTCTCATGAAAAACTAACTCATTAATTCAGAAAAACAGAGGGAAAAAAAATTTTCTCATGAAAAATTAACTCATTAATTCAGAAAAACAGAGCAATTTTTTTTTCTCATGAAAAATTAACTCGTTAATTCAGAAAAACAGAGTAGATTTTTTTTTTCTTCAAGTGAATGCAATACGCCTCCGTACATTCCTGATTGATGCGAAGCTGAATTTTACTCCAGTGTCACATGATTGATTTTGCTGCTTCATATTTTTGTGGAAACCTTCATACACTTTTTTCCAGGGTTATACGAGTAAAACACACTACACAATCAACATATACCAAAATATACACAACCAATGCACAATCATACACAAGAAAAACCAATTCTCATTAAATATATCTATATAAATACACACACACATAATATCTACTAGCATTGTATTCGTCTGAAAGAAGAAAGCACCTATACACCTAGAATGGCTTCAGGATGAGTTAATCATTCGCTAATTTTAATTTTTGGGTGAACTATCTCTTTAAACTCACTCAACAGACCCATGAAGATCACCGAGTTGTGGTGTTTTTGTGACCGTGTGTGTGTGTGTTGTGTTTCAGCAGTAAGCTGCCGCAGACACAGATGGAATGGGCACAGCTCCTGGAGTCCCAGCAGAGGTGCCATGACGCTGAGCTGCAGAAATGGAGAGAGATCATCAAATCTTCAGTACTGTTATTGGATCAGGTAATATGTCTGCATACACGCCGAAGTGATTTTATTGAACGTGGTTGTTATTATAATATGCATGTGTCTCCACACAGATGAAGGATTCCTTACTGAACCTACAGAAAGGTGTGGGACTGCGAGATTACAACTCGGACTCGGACGAGGAGAGGAGTCGATATTACTGACAGTCACCCTCCAGGCCACCAGGGAGCGCTGTGCAATGTAGAGCCACGTATAAGAACGAAAGGCAAAAAACAAAGGGCCCATCTGTGCGTGTTTGACTATGCATACCAAACAAAAGAGACACTTGATAGAGACCAGAAGAAGAAGAGATGGACCAGATGCTGCCATCGGACGATCCAAGTGGATCCAAGTCAACCTACGGGAAGTGGGGCCGTATCTGTCCCGTGGAATTGTGGGACGGTTACGGTCCGAGTGCGCCCACCACTGTTCCAGCTTTCTTTCAGGTTCTCTTTCCGAGGATGTTACTGTACACTCCTGTCAGAGGAACGGAACGGACACGAGGAAGCATGCTTAGCCCTCCTTTCTTTTGAAGTGTTTTTATTGGTTCATTGGTACAAAGAATGAGGAAAATGATCTTTTTAGCTTGATTTTGACCAGTAACGCCACAGCTGCCCTGTCCCTTTTCCATTTGTGAGAGCTGTGATGAACGAGATCATTGAGCGTATTATCAAATCTATAATATCAGGGCTGGTTTCCTTGATAAACCTGTGCTGGAAGGTTTCATTCACTCAAAAAGGGCCATTTGCGCAAAAAACGGGGACCTTCCATTTCTGTGAAGCGTTAACCATTATGCTAATGTGTATTTGCACCAGAGAAAGACTGTGAAAAGGGACATCGCAGACGGGAAGATTGATAGTTTTTGATTACTAAACTGTGATATCTCCTGATTTATTTGAAGATGTAGTACAAATATATGAATATGTTTGAAATATATACTTTATTCAAGATTTAATATATATATTTCAATATATGTAGAGGTCATTGCAGATATTTATTGTTCATTCATGTACATAGGACACTTATCAAAGCTCTAGACGGAAAGCGTTTATAATTATTAAACTGCGTTTTCTTCGGCAACACGCACAAGCACGTTTGAGACGTGTATCGTAATTCGATCGGTGTCTATTTTGGTGAATGTAAGTGTGTTCGTGTGACGTTTGAAATCATTCCACTTAGCACGTCTTGTGTCTTCCTCCCGGCACATGAAGCCAAACTGCCTTGTTCTTGCCCAGCAGCTCAATCCACTGGGCGTCTGTTTACACATCCGCCTGGCTTCAGAAAGCCCCGAAACAACCATATATCAGCTCGCACGCGTTCCCTGCTGTCGCACCATTCCTGTTTTTGATTTGGTCTGAGCTCAGATAGCACACGTACGTCTGCAAGATGTCTGTTAAACATCACTTCATCTGGAAAGCATCTGCTGTTTACTAACATCTGATTTTAACATACATTCTAAATCATTACATCTTAAAGACATCTTCTAAACATCTATTTGACATCTGACAGGGAACGCCCTATCACAGAGACGTCTATTCGATGTGTGTGCTTACATCTGGAAGACGTAATTTTTAGAGTGTTTGCTCATCTGTTTCCTGTCAGATGTCAAATAGACGTTTAGAAGATGTCTATAAGATGTAATTATTTAGAATGTATGTTAAGAATGTTAAGATGTCTTTTAAACATCACTTCATCTGGAAAGCATCTGCTGTTTACTAACATCTGATTTCACCATACATTCTAAATCATTACATCTTAAAGACATCTTCTAAACGTCTATTTGACATCTGATAGGGAACGCCCTATCACAGAGATGTCTATTCGATGTGTGTGTTTACATCTGGAAGACGTATTTTTTAGAGTGTTTGCTCATCTGCAATACGTCTATAGGATGTTTTCTGTCAGATGTCAAATAGACGTTTAGAAGATGTCTATAAGATGTAATTATTTATAATGTATGTTAAGAATGTTAAGATGTCTTTTAAACATCACTTCATCTGGAAAGCATCTGCTGTTTACTAACATCTGATTTTAACATACATTCTAAATCATTACATCTTAAAGACATCTTCTAAACGTCTATTTGACATCTGATAGGGAACGCCCTATCACAGAGACGTCTATTCGATGCTTGTGTTTACATCTGGAAGGTCTATTTTTTAGAGTGTTTGCTCGTCTGCAATACGTCTATAGGACGTTTCCTGTCAGATGTCAAATAGACATTTAGAAGATGTCTTTAAGATGTAATGATTTAGAATGTAAGTTAAGAACATCTTCTAAACGTCTATTTGACATCTGATAGGGAACGTCCTATCACAGAGACGTCTACTCGATGTGTGTGTTTACATCTGGAAGACGTATTTTTTAGAGTGTTTGCTCATCTGCAATACATTTATTGGACGTTCCCTGTCAGATGTCAAATAGACGTTTAGAAGATGTCTATAAGATGTAATTATTTAGAATGTATGTTAAGAATGTTATGTCTGTTAAACATCACTTCATCTGGAAAGCATTTGCTGTTTAGACGTATTGCAGATGAGCAAACACTCTAAAAAATACGTCTTCCAGATGTACACTAAACACACACATCAAATAGACGTCTCTGTGATAGGACGTTCCCTGTCAGATGTCAAATAGACGTTTAGAAGATGTTTTTAAGATGTAATGATTTAGAATGTATGTTGAACTGACATCTTAAAGATGTTAGTAAACAGCAGATGCTTTCCAGATGAAGTGATCTTTAACAGACATCTTGCACACATACGTGTGCTATCTGGGATCAGGGACCAGGAAGCACTGCAGGAAACAACACTACACTTGCCGCTCATTCAGTTTTTAATTTAGACCGCTGTCGCCCATATTTTGTCATTTTAAATCGGTCAAATAAAAGAAAAGTCATGGGAGGTAGTTATGATATTTTTATAGAGCACAAGTGCTCTAGCCTAAACCAAATATAGTATTTATAGATGGTAGAATTTATTTATATAGAATATGAAATGCAAAAATTCCCTTTTTTATGCAGACAAAACGTCTCGGTTACGTATGTAACCCTCGTTCCCTGAGTAGGGAACGGAGACGTTACGTCAGAAGTGACGGAGATTGGGGGTTTCGCATAGAAAGCCAATCCTCTTCGAGTATTTAAACACGAGCCAATGGCATGCAATGCCTTGGGGCTGCGGAAATTTGCATAGCGTACTCCGCCCTACTCCGTGAGTATAAAAGGAGGAAGTGAACGCAACCGCAGTATGTCTTCGCTGAGGAGCCAAGACTGAACTCGGCATCTACCCAGCGATACAGCAGAAGTGGCAGGGAGACGTAACGTCTCCGTTCCCTACTCAGGGAACGAGGGTTACATACGTAACCGAGACGTTCCCTTTCGTAGTCACTTCGAGTTACGTCAGAAGTGACGGAGATTGGGGGTCTGTGCCATCACGCCAACTTCAGGCTGTCTTCCAGTGCCCTGCGAAAGTCTGAACCCCCGAGCCTTACCTGTTTTCCTTAGGGGATCCGACTTAGACACAGGATTACCAAGGTACACTGGGAAACATATCCCGAAGGGGACATGCTACCAGCTGCCTACCGAAGGGAGGACTTACGAATACACATATGGCCACATAGGAACACATATGGAATCACTGGAGCACCAACCGCAGGTGGCTACTAATTTCAGCTCCAGGGGTGGCAGATGGCTTGCCAAGGGAAGACACATGCTCAGAGAGGCTTACAGTGGATAATACACATGAGACGGTTACCAAGGGGGAACCGTACGCATGGAGGCACCTAGCCAGCATCCAGAGCCACAGCAGTGGTGCCCGCATCGTCGGTGCTGGAGGACTCAAGGCTTCAATGGAAGAACTGAGGAAATATCGCACTTATCCAGTCCGGGGAGTGGAGTGGCGAGCAAGCGAAGACACCAGAGCGGATCCAGAACTGGCCGAAACGAGTATGTGAGAGGATACCGGCTCAATTCGCAGATTATAGAATCTGGCGAAGGTGTTGGGTGTCGCCCAGCCTGCAGCTCTGCAGATGTCTGTTAGCGAGGCGCCGTGCGCTAAAGCCCAAGAGGAGGCCACACTCCGAGTGGAATGGGCCGTCACACCAAGGGGGCACGGAAGGCCTTGCTGCTGGTAAGACAAAGCAATGGCATCCACTAACCAGTGGGACAGCCGTTGCTTTGAGAGAGCCCTTCCCTTCTGGCTCCCCCCATGACAGACAAAGAGCTGGTCTGAGGTCCTGAACACTGCGTTCTGTCGACATAGGTGCGGAGAGCACGTACCGGACAGAGCAGTGCCAAGGCTGGGTCTGCCTCCTCCAGGGGCAGCGCTTGCAGGTTCACCACCAGGTCCCCTTAGGGGAGTGGTAGGAACCATGGGCATATATCCAGGCCGGGGTCTCAGGAATACGTGAGAGTAAGCCGGCCCGAACTCCAGGCACACTTCGTCAACAGAGAGTGCGAGCAGGTCCCTTACTCTCCTGATGGAGACCAATGCAATCAGGAGTGCTGTCACATAGGACAGGGCAAAAACTCTACCGACTGCAAAGGCTCCAGGGGAGGCCTCTGCAGAGCACCCAGGTCTACTGAGAGGTCCCCAGAGGGCAGGAGGGGAGGGAGGCGGATTTAGCCCCCTCGCTCCCCTCAGGAACCTGATGACCAGGTCATGCTTCCCATAGACTTACCTTTCACTGCATCATGAGACGCGGCAATGGCCGCGATATAAATCCAAAGGGTGGAGGGCGAAGCCTACGCTCCAACCCCTCTTGCAGGAAGGAAGCACGACTCCGATCGAACATCTCCGGGGGTCTTCTCAGCGAGAAGAACACCAATTGACGAAGAGGTTCCACTTCAACGCATAAAGGTGTCTCGTGGACGACGCTCTTGCGGAAGTGAAGGTTGCCGCCACCGCAGGTGGCAGCGAACTCAAACCTGCCTCGTCCCGTCCTGGAGCCACACGTGCAGCCTCCAAGATCGGGACAAGGGTGCCACAGAGTGCCCCGTCTCTGAGAGAGTACGGTCTCAGAGGAATAGGCCAAGGAGGTGCTGTCGCGAGGAGCATGAGTTCGGAGAACCACGTCTTGGTGGGCCAGTAGGGGGCTACCAGCAAGACCTGCTCCTCGTCCTCCTTGATCTTGCACAACACCCGTGCAAGGAGGCTCACTGGGGGAACGCACACTTGCGTGGGCCCCGTGGCCAGCTGTGCGCCAGCGCATCCGAGCCGAGCCGCGGGTCAGGGAAAAACTGGGCGCAGTGAGACGAGTCCCGAGAGGCGAACCGGTCTATCTGTGCCTCCCCGAACTGGTCCCAAATCAGCTGGACCGACTGGGGATGGAGTCGCCATTCGCCGGAGATGGAACGGGCCCGGGACAGCTCGACGGCTGCCCGGTTCCGGTCTCCAGGAATGTAGCTGCACGAAGGGACCTCAGGTGCTTCTGACTCCATATCAAGAGGTGGCGGGCGAGCTGCGACAACCGGCGCGAGCGTAGACCCCCCCTGGTGGTAGATGTACGCTACTGCCGTAGTGTTGTCTGAGCGGACAAGCCCATGCTGGCCCTTGAGCACGCTCGGAAGCGGTGCCGGGCGAGCCGTGCTGCCAACAGCTCGAGGCAATTGATGTGCATGAGGCGCTGGGCTCCTGTCCAGGAACCGGCGGCTGCATGCCCATTGCACATGGCACCCCAACCCGTGGTAGACGCATCCGTGGAGACAACGAGATGCCTGGAAACTCGCTGAATAGGGACCCAGTCCGTAAAAAGCTGAGGTTCGACCACGGGAAGAGGGTTCGGCGGCGCGTCGGAGTCACTGGAACTCGGAGCGAGCCGCGATGCCATGCCCACCTCGGGACTCGATCGCGAAGCCACAGCTGAAGCGGTCTCATATGAAGCAAACCGAGCGGCGTACCGCGGATGCCATATGCCCCAGGAGCCTCTGAAATAGTTTCAGTGGAACCGCACTCTTGCCCTCGAACTGTCGAAGACAAGCCAGCAGTGAGTGCGCGCGCTCGTCGTGAGCTGCGCGGACATGGCGACCGAGTCTATCTCCATGCCGAGAAAAGAGATCCTCTGCACGGGGCAAAGTTTGCTCTTTTCCCGGTTGACCCGAAGGCCCAGACGGGCTTGGTGCCGTAGCACCAGGTCTCTGTGTTCGCAAAACCCGAGCTCGAGAGTGTGCTAGTATCAGCCAGTCGTCGAGATAGTTCAGGGTGCGAACCCCGTGTTCGCGAAGGGGAACAAGGGCTGCCTCGACGATCTTCGTGAAGACGCGAGGGGACAGAGCTAACCCGACTGGGAGAACGGCGTAC